CTGTGGCGCAGAGTGGTGGAAGGAACAGCTCTACTCCCGTGAACAGGGCCTGTAGCTATTTCTGGTATCTTCTGTTCCCTCCCCCAGGTCACCAGCCATCCAGGGCTAACTGACCAGGACCCCCACTGTACCTGTAGAGGGCAAGACTTACCTTCCCATGATTTAAAGGATATGATTGGGTGTGAGGGGCTGCGGTGGAACCTTCCTTTTGGAGGGATCCTTTAGCAGAGACAGGATACTTTCCCCTGTCCTGGGGAGAAGCCATTCAAACATTTATCAAGCCCCCATCCTGGGCAAGCTCTAGATTCACCCACACGAACTCAACATCTCCTCCAAGCAGGCCCTTCATCCTTCCCCCAGCTCTGCCCATGACACTGCTCCCCTTTCTCACCTGTGCCACCTGCAGAAGGCAAAGAGAAAGAGCAGGGCGAGGTGGGCGGCCAACAGTGCCAGGTGGAAGGCACGATGCAAGAAGAGGGCCTCCGGGAGGAAGCGCCAATTCACTGTCCAGCGGAAGAGAAACTGGCGGCCAAGGTCAAAGGAGCGGGATAGGTAGCCAATGGGGTTCTCCAGCAGGAAGGGCAGCCCCAGCAGCACCTGAGGATAGGTGTGATGTCAGCAGACGTGCCCAGGCTCAAGCTGAACCTTCATACTAATCATCGAGGGGAGCGGACAGAGGGCGTAGGTCTCAGAGGTTCTCAAATTCCTCCAGGAATAGCAGGAAAGCCAGCCTCCACATCCAGGCCAGAGCCTGGGGCCAAAGAAGCTGAGAAGGCAGGGAGTAACAGTCCTTTAAGTTTGAACTCACCCTGTCATAAATGGGCAGAATCAGAGGGGCGCCTGGGTGGCTCAGTTGGTTGGGTGACTGCCTTCGGCTCGGGTCATGATCCTGGAGTCCCGGGATCGAGTCCCGCATCGGGCTCCCTGCTCAGCGGGGAGTCTGCTTCTCCCTCTGACCCTCCCCCCTCTCGTGCTCTATCTCATTCTCTCTCTCAAATAAATAAATAAATAAATAAAATCTTTAAAAAATAAAAACAAATAAAAAAAGGGCAGAATCAGAGAGACCCTCAGAAACCATCTAGTTCAACACCCTTACTTTACAGCTAATAAAAGTAAAGCCTGGAATCAAATCCCAAACCCTGTCTGTTAGCTTTGAGGAAGTCTCAACGACGGAAGGAGGCCAGAGAGTAGCCTTCCCTTCATTAGGAAGGGGAAGGTAGTGGGGGTACCTGAAGGACAGCACAGATGCCCAACTTGGGGAGGGCTCCACGGAAGCCAAATTGCATGAGGAGAAGAAACAGCAACCCAGGGGCGAAGAGTAGCACATTCATCTTCACAGAGACTGCCAGGCTGGGGTAGGTAAGGGAGATGAAGGGCGGAGATCAGCTCCAGGGCCATTTACCCCACCCAAAGATGCATCTCCCCTCGACATACACCAGCAACTCCTCCCCTCCCCTGCAACTCCTCCCCTCCCCTGCCCAGCAAGCTCCAGGATGGGGCCCACACTCAGAATGGCTGGAAGGAGGGTAAAGCAGCCTGGGAGGAGGCTGAGGGTAAGGGGCAGATAACAAGTCTCTATGCTCAGACTGGGCCAGCAAATACATATTTAGAGTATTTACAATGTGCGAGGACCAACTCCAACAATAGATGCTGTCTAGAAGGAAGGGTAGAGGGTGTGTGTGTTTCGGGGGTGGAGGCAGAGACTTTCTACAGATCCTAGACTTATCTAGTGGGGCCCTGACTGATCCATATCGTCTGGTTACTCCCTTACTTCCTCTGCTGCAGGCAACTGGGGGAGGAAATGATGGACATACAGAATGAGAGAAGGGGAGGGGGGAGAAGGGAGGGGTGCTGACCTGAAACAGCAGCAGCCCCAGCCCCAGCGCCGGGCCAGCAGGAGGTTGATACTGAGGAACAGCAGCGCCATGGCCACCGGGTCATTGAAGAGCCGCAGCACGAAGATGGAGTGGACACGGTAAGAGGCGCAGCACATGAAGAAAAAGACGAAGGGAGGTACCTGAGAGGTGGGCACCGTGGGGAACAAGGTCAGCTCACCAACCCTGAGCCATCCCTACTCCCCAGCACTGCCAGTTGGGGCCCCCTGCTCCCGGTAGCATGGACTCACCTTGCAGGTCTGGTGGTAGATCAAGAAGACAAGCAGTAAGGTGGCCAGGTAGAGCACGGCAAAGATGTGCTGGGCCGTGCGGATGTCAGTGCCCTGGCCAGTGGCATAATATAGCCCCATAAAGATGTACACAAAGCCAGCTGGGTACCTGGAAGAGGAGTCTGGGTCAGGCTACCCAGCCTGGTATCCAGGCAGCCCCTCAGGTCCTCACTGAACCCCTTACCACCACTCACACAAGAGGTCCAGTGTCACCCTGCAGTTGGGTGTAGTCATAGGTGCCGTTGATGACGCCCTCCACCTGGGCCATGTAGGCCTTCCAGTCAATCTCTGTATCTGGAAAAGGACAGGACGTTGTGGTTACTTCCGAGTTCAGAACCTGTCTGCCCGCCCCCCCACACACACCTCCAGCCCCTCAAAACACAGAGTTCCAGCTCTTTCCCAAGACTTCTATCACAACCCCTTATCTCACTACTCATCTGGCATTCTCTGGGTGAACCCAACATCTCAAATTCAACATGTCTGTAATTGAACTCAAACCGTCCACTCTAAATCTGCTCTCCTTCCTGGGTTTCATGAACGGCACCATCAACCTCCCAGCTGCCCAGGTCACAAACCTGGGTAACATCTTTGACACTTACTTCTTTCTCATTTCCAACACCCAGTCACCAAGTCCTGCCTATTCTTCATCCTAAATAACTCTACTATCTCTCATCCTTTTCTGGTCTTACATACTAATATTCAGACCTAACATAATCTCTAGCCTCAATGATGCAACAGCTTCCTAATTAGTTTCCCAGCTTCCACTTTTACCTCACTACAATATATTTCCCACCTCTGCAACAAGAGAGCTCTTCCTATAATAGAAATCATGTCAGATCTCTCTGCTTAAAACCCTTCAATGATTCCTCAAGGCTCCTAAGATAAAAACCAAATCCTATTATTTCCAATTTTAGAAGAGGAACCTATGAATTAAGGAGGTTAAGTGACTAATTCAAGATCAATGAGCTAAGAAGGGTAAAGTTGAGATTGGAACTCCATGAGGTCCTAAATTCTTAACCACCATGCTAATTATCTCCTTAACACAACTGACAGACTGCTCCACGATCCGGTCTCAACTTCTGCAATCTCATCTCTCACTGCTACCCTCACTTGAATTCTGTTCCAGCTCTAAAAAAAAATTCAGTTCCTCAAAGGAAGCAGACTCTCTATTGACTGGAGGTTTGTAGTTATAGGATTCTCTACCTAGAGTGCTCTTTCTCCTCTCCTTTTCTCTTTCCTCAATTAGCTCGCTCTTACCTTTCAAGGGGGACTCAAGTCTGGCTTAACTGCCCTCCTGTGTCCTTTATGGCTCCCTGTCTTCCTACTATCATGATGAATCTGATCCACTATCATTTTCTACTAACTTCTTTTTGTCCAGGCCGATACACCCAAATAGAAAATGTCTATTTTTTTCACCACTGTACCCCTGGCACCTAGCATAGTGTTAAGCATACAATAAACATTCAATAAATATGTGTTAAATTAATCATCTTTAACAAGAAAGCCTTAAGCCCAGTGGCTAGATTCAGGCCAGAAAGGAGCCCCCAATCATACCCAAAGGACTCAAGCGGTCACAAAATGTCACTGTTGACAAGAGAACTTTGAGACCTCAGAATTGAACAGATGAGAAAATTTGGATCCAGCAGGGGAAGGGGCATGTCCAAAGCACAGAGACAAGAGGGAGCAGTAGTACATTAAGTCGGACCCAGGTCTTTTGATTTCCAGGCTGGTTTATGTTCTTAGCCTGGAAGGCTGTATGGTCAGGGCAGAGGGCCAATCTCTAGGGTCGCCCCTTCCATCATCGGGGAGGGATTAAGACAGGGTTTGGTTTTATGGAGCCGGCTTGGGACGTGGGTAAAAATTATCGTCTGCAACTGATGACTGATTGGATCTGGATTTCAGTTCCGAATCTGGGTCCCAGTTTGGGTAGGGGGTTCGGGTCCCCCTCTCCCTCCCCTCCCCTCCCCTCCTCCTCGGCGCACTCACATGCCACCCTGTGAATGACCCAGAAGGTGATGCCCACCTCCGCCAGGCAGAGGCAGGCGGCCACCAGCAGCGTGTAGCGCGGCTCCAGCAGCAGTAGGCGCCGCTCTTGCCAGGCGCGCCGCAGCCATTGTCCGCAGAGCCCCGCAGCCCGGGCTGCCGGCCCGGCCCGGCCGCGTTTCCGTAGGCCCGCCGCCATCTTGACGGTGCGCCGCTCCTGTTGGCCCGCCACCCCGGAAGCCCGACCCCTCAGCACTTAAGTTCCGCTCCCCGCGCCGGCTGTCCCAACAGACTGATCGCTGTCCTGTTTCGTGTCCTATTTACTCCACTAAAATTTACTTCTTCCACATCTTTCCTGATGCACTACACACTCCAGACGTGCAGGAATAGTTTTACTCCTCAGTACATACTTGGTTCTGAGCACACAGGCGCTAAAGTAGATCGAACGTTTGCCCAGAAAAGCAACATTCATTCCTATTCGTGTTCTCCCCTGACTGGCATCACACTTCGTCTCTGTTTCACGCCAGTCTCTCCTGGAGGGCAAGACCTGTGGCCGTGCCCTCCTACCTCCTCTCAGAGCCTTCCGCGTGCTCAAAACTGGGTAGAAATGAATCTTTCATTAACTTTCAGACTTCTTAATGGAAGGAGCCGGCCAAACTGAAAATAAGCAGTGATGAGCCGAGTGAGTCTGACTCTGTGAGTTTGGCTCTCAGAAGTGAGGGAGCAGTACAGTTGGAGGATTCAAGCTCTGAACGATAGGATTTTCCCACCCGGAGTATTCTTCAAAGAGCTCTCACCAGAGGACGGAAGTTCCACGTGTTTATGTTGAGCAACTGCAGGTGGTGGGCGGAGACACAAGGGCCACGCCTCCCGAATGATACCATCCCTATTGGCTACAAGGGGCACCAAGCCCCGTCCAAAGGTGCTGGCAGTGTGCCCTGCTGCTACAAGCATGGCCTCTCCACGGGCCCGAGCCCCCCCGCCGGAGATACCAGAGCAGAACTGCAGGTACCGTGAGGTTCAGTATTGGGACCAGCGCTACCGGAATGCGGCTGACTCAGCCCCTTACGAGTGGTTCGGGGACTACTCCTCCTTCCGTGCCCTCCTGGAGCCTGAGCTGCGGCCCGAAGACCGTATCCTCGTGCTAGGTGGGTAGTCCCGGCGTTCCCCAGCCCAGGTGGAGCGGGCTGGAGCCGCCCCGGCCCTGTCCGCTGTCCTCGAGTCTGTTTGTCCCTCTCGGGAGCCAAGATCCAGTACTTTCAGAATCTCGGCAGGATTTAGCCAGGGCAACGGGAGTCAAGAGATTCTTAGTCCAAGCTTCTCCACCCCCCCCCCCCCCCCCCGGAGAAAGACAGTCTCTGAGTCTGAGTTTGTAGGTATCCTAGGACCCTGTTCCAGACCCTCGGGGAGACAGCCTCGAGCCCTGGAGAGCTCAGAAGACCTAGTTCAAGTCCCAGTGCTAGTTGGCTATATGACTTAGGACAAGTTGTGAACTCATTTCTGAGCTTCAGAGTCACTTCTACAAATGGAACTGCGAGCTCAAGGCGGATGAGGAAGGTTCAGGCACCTCGAGCACGATGCCTAGCATTTATCTGTTAGCGCCAAGGGGTACCGGAAGCCACAGTCACCTGGAGAGACCTCTCTCCACACTCCCAGCCCTACCTGAAACTTGGTCCTATGTCCCATGTGCAGTGAGAGCGAGGACAGCGCCCTCTGAGGTCGGAGGGGAGATTGCTGCCTAGCGTTTATCTGTTACCGCCATGGGCACCGGAAGCCACTGTCACCTGGAGAGACCTCTCTCCACACTCCCAGCCCTACGTGAAACTTCATCCTAGGTCCCCTGTGCAGTGAGGGCGAGGACAGCGCCCTCTGAGGTCGGAGGGGAGATTGCAGCCAAGATTGGTGGGATCCTCCACAGCGAAATATACAAATGCAGGGGTGCAAGGTGGGGCTCTGAGAGGTCCAGCAGCACCCTGGGGTTCTCTCCCACTGCCGGCCCTGGGGGCTCCAGTGAAGTTTGAGCAACAGGTTTCCTTCTAATTTAGTTTTTATTTTGGTATTTGTAAAAGCATGTGTATGTTTAAATGAAATATTTCATATATATATGAGACATCTATAATACAGTATATGTGTAAAGTATAAGTAATAAATTAATGCGTTTGTATACCCTACTCAATTTGAGAAATAGAACATTCCTAGGACTAGAAAGGACGTATAACCTAGTGCTTAAGAACTTGGACCCTGGAGGGAGTTAATTATGTTGAAATCTTCGCTTATGTAACCTTAGCTGTGGAATCATGGGCAAAAGCATAGAATCTTAGCTGTGGAATCATGGACAAAACACCTAAATTTCTGCACTTTCATTTTCTTGGCCTTAAAAAAATAAGAGTGCTTATTTATTGGCTTTTTTAAATGATTGAGTATGAAAGACATCTGGGACAATGCCTAGCAAAATAAAAGGCCCCAGGTATATTCAAGGTTTTCTGTGTGGTCCCCCAAACCCCTTCTTCCCAGGGGTAAAAACTCTCTTGAATTGTGTGCTTTTAAACCATTGTATTTATTTCTAAATTTACCATAGATCTATGTTTTTCAAGCTTTGGTGTCCATCAAAATCACCTGGAAAGGTGTACCCTACCCTGAGATTCTAATTCTAGGGATGGTCTCAGGTGGGCCTCGGGATTCTGTAGTTTCAACAGGTCCACAGCTGATTCTCATGCTGGTGACTGGCAGAATAACACTGCCTTAAAATCTGCTTGACCGGGAGGTATCCTTTTCTGGATAGAGGGGAGAAAAATCTAAAAATCAGAGGAAAACTTTCCTGGCAAGATTCCCCAAATCTAAGAACAGGACTTATGACTTGGGAGTGCCTTATGTTACATTCCACCTCAGCAAATGTAAGCTGAGCACCTGGTAGGTGCTAGGGAGTGTGCTGGGCCCCTTCTAACTTATTTAGTCCTCATAACAACCCATAGAGGTGAGTGATAATTATTAGAAGACTTATTCTAGGTTAGGAGTTGGTAAACTTTTTCTGAAAATGGCCAAGTAGTAAATATCTTAGGCTTTGCAGGCTATTTAGTTTCTGTCACCACTGCTCAGTACTGCTGTTATACTGGAAAAGCAGCCATAGACAATACATAAGTGAATGTCTTATGTACTGCTGTGTAGCAGTAAAACTTTATAAAAACAGGTGGCAAGCTGGATTTGGTGACCTTGCTCTAGGTCATTGTCTCAGGTTGGGTTCCCCAGAAGCAAATCCTAAGATGAAGATTCATGTCCCAGTCATTTATTAGGAAAGTGCTTGCAGGAGAAATTGGTAAGAGAGTGAGGGAACGGGGAAGTGGAAAAGGCCAAGCAAGATTGTGATCATAGGCAAAGCATCCCTGAGGGTAGTTTCAGCCCGAAGTGTCAGAGATGCAAAATGTCAGAAGCAAACATGCCAAAACCTAGGAGCACTCCAAGGGGATCGAATCAGAGCACTGACAGTGTCCACTACTGTCATGCAGCAAGTAAGTGGTGAAGGGTGCCATCTGACTCCAGAGCTTCTATTTCTCTTGTTGCACAACACAGATGGGCATAGAGAGGCATCATCTGAACTCTGTTGAGACTGATAAAATGGCCACATTGTGAATGAAACCCTAATGGTCATGCTGTTGTAGCTAAAGACGGAATGTCACTACCGAAGGTGGGTAGACCTCTTGAAAACTGGGAGACAGTTTAGCATAGTGGTTTAAGAGCTTTGGTTCTGGTGTGAGACCTGTATCCAAATTCTGGCTCTACCACTGATTGTGTGACCTTGGGAAAGTTTCTTATCCACTTTGGGCAGCATCATTTTCCCCCCATCGAGAACATGGTAATAACAGTATCTTCTATATGGAGCTACCTTGAAGATAAACTGAGATAATTCTTATAAAGTGCTTAGCATAGAACCCAGTGTTCAGTGACTGTTAGCTATCATTATTATTGAAAATGGGAGTCAGGGGCAGTTTATCCAGGACTGTCCAGAGAACAGAGTACCCTGCCTGAGGGCTTGTGTGTACCTATGGCTGAAAGATCTTCATGGCAGATGCAGGCGTATGGCTGTCCCAGCTTTGCCAGTATCACACAACTCTGATTCTCTCTCCTTGTTTGATTCTATGCTTCTGAGCCTAATTTGGCTTCAATTTGTATTTCCTATAGAGAGAGAAGGGACTGACCAGAGAGGATTGACAGCCTACTCAGTCCCTATGATGGTTATTTTTCCTATTATAAGTTAATGAATTGGCATTTTGTCTTACACCTCTGTCTCTTGGTATTGGGATAGCAACCACATAGCTCTGGGCTCCCATGTAAGGGGTTCTTGGATGTGGCTCAGTTCTCCAGGGCTCTGCTTTCCTAAAGCTTCACCCGGGAAGGCAGTGACCTTCCCAAGGCCCTTCTTAGTTGCCAGCCTCCAATTACTGAGGCAGCAGGATCAGAAATCACTGCTTTGTAAGCATGATTGGCTCTGTGGTCAGGTTTTGTTCTCGCTTCATCCTTTGTAAAGTTCTCTTGGAAGCCGCCATTCCTGTACCAAGAGGAACAAAGGAAGGAAATTTGGGTTTGTCCACTGTTGGGCAGAGCTCTGAGGGCATATGAGGTCAGGTGTGGGATGGTGAAGGGATCGTGGGTCAGAGAACCCAGTGGGATTTCAACTTGAACTGACTTAGGGTCTCTTGTAAAGCCACCCTCACCTCTCATCCCATGTGGTGTGTCTCCCCGGGCTTGCTTTGGTTCCAGTGTGGAAAAACATGAACTGGGTTTTCCCAGGTAAGATAGTACTGTCCCTCAGCTGTAGCGCCTGAGGAGGAACACAGGAAGGGGCAGCTGAGGACCAGCCAGCAGCCTCTGGGCGCCTCCCCCCACCAGGTGCCAAGCCCTACTAGATTAGGGCTATCCTAACAGCTGATCCTGTGATCCTCTTAGGGAGGCAAATGGGGATTAAAGGCAATCTAATCCCCTGTGGGGTCACCAGAACTGTCCCCCAGCTCCATTCCCAGGCTGAGACTGACCACAAGAGGGCCAGCATGCCTTCTTAGGAAGTCACACCTACTGTGTTGTGGATTCACATCCTGTCTTCTAATCTCCACCCCTTTTCTCACCATACTCTGCCCCCTGGGACTGCTTTCCTGGGACTTCCCACCAGAGTGTTAGGATCCTTCAAGGCTCTCATTGGGTTGTCAACTTCCCTGAAAGCCTTGGCTGACCCACCAGAGGAGAGGACAGGAGCCATCCTGTTTCCACAGCCCATCCCTACTGAAACTCTCATTGCATTATGTGGCAATCACGTGAATACACATCTTTTCTTCCCACCAGAGCATGAGCTCCCTGTTCATCTGCAGAACCCAAATGTCGTGCTCAATACATTAAGGAATTATAAGGAATCAGCTCCACTGTGTGTCCCCATCGAGTTCCCCTACACTTGTTAATTCTTTCCCAGAAACCGAAGTAGGGTAGGAAGCCCTCACATGAAGTCTTCCCAGGGCTGATATCATCAAAGTTTCTCTGAGAGGTTAGGGATTAGGATAATAGTACTAGTATTCTAATAATAACGTGGTGGTCCTAATGATGCCAGTAGTATCCCCATTCCGAGTATGAGGAGACAGGCTCAGAGTTGAATGACTTGCCTTGGCTGTATGACTAGAGATATCAGAATCTAGATCTTTGAACTCGGAGGTTCAGAGCTCCTTCAGCTACTCTCCAGCTGTTTTAGTTTTTAAATTTAATGTATCACATCCTGCATGTAGGCTAGGTATTGCCATCTTCATTTTTCTGAATAGGAAATCTAAGTTCCTGCTATGAAAACAACTTGCCCCTAGTCTACGTAGGTAGGAATGTTAGAGCAGGCCATGGGCCCAGCTCTGTATGACTCCAAGGTTCGTGCTTTTTTGTACATGCTGCTTCTCCCTCAGTATTGGGAGGGTTTAGGCTGAGAGCAAATGGGCCAAGAGAGGATGGATAACTGGGGAAGTGAGAACCAAAGCTAACCTAGCCCTTGTGCCACCCATCCCGTTCCTTCCCGCCCCAGGCTGTGGGAACAGTGCCCTGAGCTACGAGCTGTTCCTTGGAGGCTTCCCTGATGTGACCAGCGTGGACTACTCATCAGTAGTGGTGGCTGTGATGCAGGCTCGATATGCCCATGTGCCCACGCTGCGCTGGGAGACCATGGATGTGCGAGCACTGGACTTCCCCAGTGGCTCCTTTGACGTGGTGCTCGAGAAGGGCATGCTGGATGCCCTGTTAGCTGGAGAACGGGATCCCTGGAATGTGTCCTCTGAAGGTGTCCACACCGTGGACCAGGTGCTAAGTGAGGTGAGGGAAGCAACAAGGAGGGCAGACCGAGAGGTGGGAAGGAAGGGATTGGGGTTTCGGGAGATTGGAAGAACTCAAAAGCTGGAAGGAGGCATAGTTTGGAGCAGGTGGTGGGTCACCTTCAGGACCGCAGTTACCTGAGGGAGGGGGTGGTTAAGCCGAGGCAAGATCATAGGGGGCTGGAGTGGCCAGGCTCACAGATGCAGATGATTGGCTACTGGGTTGTCACGGGGATGAGGTAGCAGCCAGGTTCCAGACAGGTAACACAGATTAGGAGAGTGAGTAGTTGACAGGAAAGCCGTGCCCCTGCACCTAACCTCATTCCCGTGCTCCTGCCTGGGTAGAATATAGCCCTACTCCATGGAATAGACTAGGAGCAGAGAGGAGGCTCACTCTTACCATGGAGAGCCCTGAGCTATGGCATGTAGGGTGGTACCTGCGAGGGTATCTGGGGCCATACTGACCTTTGAGAACCTGGAGATGGACTCCTCACCAGTGACTTCTCTGTCTGCCTTGCAGGTGAGCCGGGTACTGGTCCATGGAGGCCGGTTCATATCATTGACCTCAGCTGCTCCCCACTTTCGGATCAGACACTATGCCCAAGCCCGATATGGCTGGTCCCTGAGGCATGCAACCTATGGCAGCGGTTTCCACTTCCATCTTTACATCATGCAGAAGGGCAGAGAGCTCACTATAGCCCAGCTGGCTGTTGGGACCCAGGTCCTCTCACCCCCTAGACCTCCCACTGCACCTTGCTTCCTCCAGGACTCAGATCACGAGGACTTCCTCAATGCCATTCAGCTGTGAGGCCAGAGGCATGGTCCTCTGGCCCTCCCTGCCTTTCTGCCCTGGACTCTTCAAGAATTCCTGACTCAGGGCTTAGGGTTTGATTCAGGGTGTTCACAATCCCAGAGGGCTCACGCCTAAGATAGAGCTGATGGGAGCAACCCCACATGAAACAATACAGCCCAGGTCAAATTAGATCCCAGACCCCAGGTTTCTGGTTTCCTTCTTAGGTTCCTCAGATTTTCCCTGGATTCCCCAACTTCCTCCCTTACCATACTGAATCACCAGTGATTCATCCCCTAGGGCAAAGCTCAGCACAACCCCTCCACATGCCAGCCAGACTCCGAGACCTGCATCCCTGGGGCCTATTATTGACCCCCGTTCAACTGGGATTTATCCAAAGGAGTCTGCAGACTTTGAATCAAGATTGCTTTATGCTTCTGATCCCAGCTTCAGCTCCAACTCTAGTCTCCTATCCTGCTTGGGTTGTATATTTACCCAAAGAAGCTACACTGCAATGAACTTCTCAGGCCAGGCTGGCCTGCCTGTTTACTTGGCAACCCTTCCCTGCCAGCAACATGCACCTGAGACTCCCAAGTCTCTGCCCCCTCCCCAGAAGGGGTTGGAGCCATTTTGGCCGGGCTCCTGAGCAGACCAAAGCAGTGGTCACACACACGCAGGGAGGTCTGTGTTTATTCACACACTCCTGGTACAGTGAGGATGGAGGAACATTTACAAAGGACACCCCTGGGTTGAAAACATCTCCAGGGCCACGGGTGTCATCCAAAGGTGCCAAGCAGTCCTCACTTGGGTTCCCAGGGGCAGGATGCAGGGGTCCAAGGTAAAATCAGACCTGGGCCCTTGGAAGGTGATACCTTGAGAGGAGGGGTCTGCCAGAGAGTCGCCTGGGGTCAGGCCTGAGCAGACTGACCATGTGGTTGGTTACCATGTTGGGGGCTCCTTCCATCTCAGACTCAACACCCATCCTATCTGCCAGGCGCAGAAGAGCGTGGCCGAGACTCGGGGGGGAGGGGGAGGCACGAACCATGAGGGGAGCCAGTAAACAAAGAGTCGGATATAAAAATACAAATGTGCTGAGGAAGTCCCTTAGAAAGAGGCTGAGGCTGGGGTCACGCCAGACAGGGGTGGGAGTGAGGGAGCGGCCTGGAGGGCTGGGCTCAGGTGGGTGGGAAGCTCATGCAAATACGCAGCCAAACATTCCTGGCTGCGCGCGCGGTTCGACACCGGCCGGCAGCGGGCTCTGCAGACCAGACCGGCCGGAGAGGGGCGGGGCAGGGGAGCCGTGCGGGAGGGGGCGGGTCAAGGGCTGAGGGCCGCGGGTCTCTGTGTCCGTTCCGGTGTGCGGGGTGGGGCTGCGGCCCGAGGCTCTAAAGTGCATGAGCGCGGCGGCGGGCTCCGGGCCGGTCCGCGCCGCCGCTACCGCCGCCGCCGTGGTGCTGAAGCGGACAGCTCCGGAGTGCCAGGCGGCGGCGGCAGCGACTCCAACCCGAAGGCGGCGCGGCCCTGCAGCCCCCGCCCGCGGGCGCCTGGGCCGGGGCGGGGGGCGCCGGCAGCCGCATAGCCGGCCCGCGCTCCTGGCCGCTGCGGGGCTGGGCCCGGAGCCCGCCGCCGGAGCCGGCGCGTCTACACTCCGGACGGCGGCTTCTCCCCCATCCCCTTCAGCACGTCGTCTATCCGGTCATCCTCGATCACCACTGCGCAGGGAGAAAGCGCGTCAGCCGCGCGGCCTCAGGGGGCGGCGGCGGCGAGAATGGGCCCCGCGTCCTCGCGCCCCGAACAGCTACTTCCCGTGGCTCAGTGACGCCCCTCGGACGCCCGTGCCACAGTGCCCTCCCTATCCGAATTCTGCCGACTGGACCCACAGCCGAGCCTAGTTCCCACAGGCCCTCCTCCCCTCCCTATGGAGGAACGCCCCCTGTTCCAACCAGCAGTTCAACCTCCCAGTCCAAACCCTCCCGCCGCCTGAGCTCTCTTCCATCCAAGCTGATCATCCTTTTGCTCGTGGGAGCCCCCTCTTCAACAGAACCCCCTTCTCAAACAGAATCTTCACCTCGTCCAACTCTCTCTCCACCCTAACCCTCTCGCCGCTGGAACCCCTCTTCCGATGCTGGCACCAACAGAGCCCCCTCCCCATGCAAACAACGAGGACAATCGAATCCCCGGCCCCCCTGTCCTCTCTCCAATCGGACGTCCCTTCCCACCCGAAGGTTCTTCTGAAGCATCCACCGACACAGCGTTTGATCCTGAAGAAGCGGCCAGTCGCCCCACGTTCCCACTTCAGGTAGCCCCAAATGCCCCGGCCGGCCCCTCCCCCTTGCCCGGGTGTCAGGGCTCTACTTCCAGAGGTGGCGAGCATCGAATCCGGGGCACTGCGTTCCCGGGAGAGGGGAAGAGAGGGACACAAGACTGCAGCGGGGGCACCCCCCCCCAAACCCCGGCCGGCGAGCGGCTGGCTGCGCTGGTCTGCGGCAAGAGCTGCGGGCGCTTGGCGGGGAACGGCAGCCGGGGGGCGCCCGGCGAAGGGTTTCTGGGTCAAGCGGCGACTCCGGGCCCCGGCCGCATACCTCTCTTGGCTCGGCCGATCTGGCCCAGCTTGGGGGGTCGCTTGGCTTGGTTGCCCGCGAAGAAGGAGTTGGTGTCCTGCAGGCGGCAACTGAAGGAGAGGTCGGAGCCCTCGGGGTCGGCGGCGAAGCGGCCCATCTTGTCCTCACTGTAGGGTAGGATCTCCGACATGGCGGGCGCGGGGTGGGCGCGGGACTGCGGCGGGGCGCGGGCGGCGGGCTAGCTGCCGGACCGGCCCTAGCTCAGCAGGGGAGCCGGCGGAAGGATGAAGTCATGCAGCATCCGGGGCTGCGGAGCCAAGCGGGGCCTCCTCCCCCGCGCCTCCGCCTCCCGGGCCGCTGGGCAGGCGGCGGCGGCGGCGGCGGCGGAGGTGGTGACGGGGACCGGGCGGGGGCGGTGCGCGGGGGGCGGGGGTGGCGGCGGCGGCAAGAGCGGAATGACGATGAGCGCCCGACTGCCGCAGAGCGCGGCAGGCGGGGCGCGGTGGAGGTGGAGCGGACACCGGCCGGGGGAGAGAGGCGGGGCAGGGGGGCGGGGAACAGGAGCGCGCCCCGCACTCAACCGAGGGCTGGGAGCGTTAATGGGAGGGTCCTGCACTAGGCGGGAGAGGCGGCTGGACGAATTGTACGGGCCAACGGGTGCAGGATCTGGCTGGGAGAGGCGGGACTGGGGAGTAGGGGGGGGTGTTGGCGGGAGGGAGACCGGCCCCCGAGGGGCGGGAGGAGGGTCAGGCAAGTAGTCTTCTAGAGGCGAGGAAGGGGAACTGGGAATTGGGGGGTGGGGCGGGACCAGAAGCCTGGAGTCTGGACAGCATTCGAAAGGGGGGACTCCGGAAATAAGCCGGGGGGGGGGAAGGTCCCATACCGCTTAGGTGTGCTGGACTGTGGCGAACCCGCGGATGCGAGAATAGCTCAGGCGGGGGGTTGGTGTCACCGCGGTTGGCGCGTTTGTGTCGGATTAGTCTTTGGGTCTTAACTGTTTATCTGGAGTGTTTCTTTGACTGCCGGTCTGTGTCTGTCTGCCTATCTATGTATCAGTCTAGCTCTTTGTGTCTGTATCTGTTTCTGCGCCCCGTATCTCTTTGTGTCACAGTCTCTGTCTACTTCTGTTTCTTAGGAATGTCTCTACCTTTCTGTATGTCTCCATGCTTGGCCCCCGTACCTACTTGCCACTGTAACCATCTCCTGAGTCTGTGTATTTCGGTCTCTCCTAGGAGGAATCTCGGTAATTGGGCCGACGCGCGCGCACCAGGGCAGACCCCCCACCCCTGCTGCTGGCGCCGTAACTCGAGCTCAAAGCGCCTCCCGTGCACCGCAGTTCTCCTGGCCCTGGAGGTTCGCGCGGCGCGCGCTATGTAAAAGGAATGAATGGTGGCGTCGCGGCGGGCGCCCTGGCTGCAGGTGACGCGGGGAAGCCCGGAGCGCCTGAGGACGCGGCGCGCGCCCGTGGGTATCCGGAGGTAGAAGACGAGGGACAGAGGGTACGTCTGCCCGCGTTGGGGGGGGGGGGGTCACGTGACAGTTCCCGCTACACAGACGGGAAAGCGTTCTCTCTCCCCTACCCCCAGCGGGCCGTCAGCAGCCGCGTCACCTGCTTGCTAGCGCGCAGGGGCTCTGGCGCAATCACTGGCCTTGGGGGTGGGGGGAGGTCCCACACTTGGCGTAGCTGACGACAGCAACGATTAGGATAATAAGCCTCCCGTACATTCACTCCATACCCGAGGCTGAGGGGGTCTCTACTGTCCCTGAAGCGCTTTACCTCCTTCCCTTCAAATCTCACAGTTAGTGAAGCTGCCTGGTGCTGGGTCTCCTTCCTCCAATTCCTCACCAAGTGTTAGTCCCAGGGATGCAGAGGCTAATGCCGTGGTGGCTGCCCTCAGGGACCAGGATTGGCGACGGGAGTAGTGCCAGAGAATACGTCTGTGCAAGATTCACTCAAGGCCTCAGACCTAGAGGCCCATCCCTATCAAGTCCTCCCCAGCTGCATCCTTCTCTCTGGGATGAGCGCCAAACCTGGAGGCCCAGCTGGAATGAAAGGAGCCCTGAGATCTGGAGGGACAAGAGATGCTGAAGCTCAGGGTCACTAGGAGAAAGTCCAGAAAATTCTACCCCCACTAGAGGTTGTCTAGAAATGGGTTCCAATCCTGGCTCTGCCACTTTCTGTATGACCTTGAACTGAAAGCCCCATAATTATAGTTTTAAAAAGTACATTCATTTAGGGGTGCCTGGCTGGCTCAGTCAGTGGAGTGTGCCGCTCTTGATCTTGGGTTGTAGGTTCAAGCCCCACTTTGGGTGTAGAGATTACTTAAAAATAAAATCTTAAAAAAATTCATTCATGTTCACTGGTAACATTTTAGGAAAATATAGAAACTTGCATGAAACCTTTGATAGATATCCCTCCAAGCTTTTCCTCATCCGTTTGCATAATATGCATACCTCTCTGAGCCTCCGTTTTCTAGTCTGAAGCATTAGAGATGATAGAACCTACATTAAGGACAGTTTTGTAGATGAAATTGTTGTCCTGACATGAAGTGGATTGTCTCAGGAGGTAATGAGCTGTCCCTCACTAAAAGTGCTAAAGGGACCATGAGAGTTCTTGCCAAGGATGAGATGAGAGCGCTGGCGGGGAACTGAAATTTTTCTCTTGTCTACTCCCAGAATGAAAAGATTGGAGAAATAACCATTGAACTTGGAATTCATTTGGTTAGCTCCTTCTTAAATAATCTTATTCCTGTCCCTGTTGTGTGTGGTAGATCATGATTAAAGCAAAAGACCTAAGTACAAAATTGTAAAGATACAGAATGATATAAGCTACAGCTATGTTGTAAAAGTACGGGGGGGGGGGGGTGTTCTTTAAATTGTGATCCTCTACTTAAAATTCTGAAGTTCTGCATCACTGTCCATGAGATGAAAATTCATTTTCACAGCTAAAATGAAATTACATTTGTTTGGATTTTTGTGACAGTGCATTGAATTTCTCAACTGAAAGTCTCTCAAAACCTAGTGGACTTGATCTGTATGTTCTAAACAGAATACTCTGCTTTTTGACACTTGAGTAATAATAGCACTTTTATTCAGGTGGAAACTTTAGGCCTGTGTAGTAGGTTGAATAGGGGCCCCCTAAAATTTACATCCACCTGGAACCTCAGAATGTAACCTTATTTGGAAATAGGGTCTTTGCAGATGTAATTAGTTAAATTAAGATGAGGTCATACTGGATTAGAGTGGGTTCTGAATCTAGTCACTGATGTTTTTATAAGAGGACAGATGCACAAAGACTCATACACCCAGGGAAGAAGGCTATGTGAGTAAGGGGAGATAGGAGTTCCTACAAGCCAAGGAACACCAAGGATTGCTGGGATCCACAAGAAGCTGGAAGAGACAAGGAAAGGTTCTTCCCTAGAACCTTCCTAGGGCGTATGGTCTTGCCCATACTTTTTTTTTTTAAGATTTTTATTTATTTATTGAGAGAGAGAGAGAATGGTAGAGAGAAAGCATGAGAGAGGGAGGGCCAGAGGGAGAAGCAGACTCCCCGCTGAGCAGGGAGCCCGACGCGGGACTCGATCCCGGGACTCCAGGATCATGACCTGAGCCGAAGGCAGCCGCTTAACCAACTGAGCCACCCAGGCGCCCTTGCCCATACTTTTATTTGGACGTTTCACCTCCAGAACTGTGAGAGAATAAGTTTCTGTTGTTTTAAGCTATTCAGTTTGTGGTACTTTGTTACAGCAATCCTAGGGAACAAATGCAACCTGTTACAAATATTTTGGGTTCATCTTTTTACATCTCTGGTGACTATGTTTCTCCTTCCTTAAACTCTGGGGCCCTTTGCTCTCACCCTGTTGAAGGAAGTCCATACCAGGAGGGTATTTCTGGGACTCATTCTATTTAGCAGAGGCTGATAAATCACAAAAAAGAATAAGGCAGATCTGTGTGGATTGACATGGTAAGATCTCCAAAGCCTGCCAAAATGTCACCAAATAATGACTGTAGAGTGTGATTTCATATATGGGGGAAAAAAGTATACACACACATTTATGCATACACACCTACACACACACACACACACACACACATACACACATACACACTGTGTTTAGGTATGTAAATGCATATAAAAGAAAGATCTAGAAGGATACATACTCAGCTGCTAATAATGGTTTTCTCTGAGGATGGTACTGGGATCCTCACAGGTGGAATTTCATCTTTTTATTCCATATACTTAATGGAGTATATTACTTTTGCAATAAAAAGTTTTTGATGATTTTTTTAAAGGTTTAAAACCAATGATGTAGTTCATTTACCAAACATCACACTCTGGTCCCAGACAAGTCACTTGACTTAGAAGAAAGAATACTAGTTAAGAACATGGAATTTAGAATCAAATCAAGGACCTGCCTTCTACCTGATGTGTGATGTTGGGTATGTTGGTAAGCTTCCCTGTGTCTTAGGTTCCTCATCTGTAAAATAGGGACAATGATACTGCTAGACTATATCTTATTGGGTCATTGTGAGGATTAAGTAAATTAACATATGTAAAGTCCTTAGGTACGTGCAAGACAATAGAATTGTTAGCTATATATTCAGGAAAGCATAAGGAAGAAATTAAAAGTAATCTCATCATTAGATATGTTAACATTTTGTTGCTGTCCTTCCGATCTCTTTTTTAAAATCTGGGCTTTTATACATTTTTGCTTCACAAAAATGAGATTTTGTAACCCTTTTACTCCCCCATTTAATTCTATACGGAGAACATTTTCCCGGAGCATTAACTCTTCCTTTCCATCCTTTGTAAATGTTACATTGTTATCCCATTGTATGGCTGTTTGATTTATTCAACAAGACCTCTACTCTTTTTTTTTCTAGTCCTCTAATCTTTTTGTTTGTTTAAAGATGTATTTATTTATTTTAGAGAGAGAGACCTGGGGGAGGGGCAAAGGGAGAGGGAGAGAATCCTCAAGCAGAATCCCCACTGAGTGCAGAGCCTGAAGCGGGGCCCTGAAGTGGGGCTCCCTCCCAGGACCCTGAGATCATGACCTGAGCTGAAATCAAGAATCAGTTGTTTAACCGACTGAGCCACCCGGGTGCCCCTGTTTGTTTTTGTTGTTATTACAGACGGAGCTGTGATGAATAAATCTTGTAGGGAAAAAATGGTCCCAATATTTTGTAGCTCCTCCAATCAAGTAGTAAATTCTACTTCTCCCTCCCTGAATCCGGGCTTGACCATCTGACTTGTTTTGCCCAATCAGGACATTAGGATATGTGGGACAGGCAGAGGCTTGAAAACCGTTTACATACTGGGGCTTGCCCTGTTTTTTTGTTTCTGGGAATCCTTAGACCACCCTATGAAGGAGCCTGGGCTAGACTACTAGAGGAGACACCACATAGAGCCAGGGCCCAGTCATCCCAAATGAGGCCCAAACATGGCAGTGAGGCCATTCAGCTATACCATCCAGCTCTTGCTGAGCTGACGTGGAACCGAAGAACCATCCAATCAACCTGAAGTACATAAGAAATAATAATTGTTTGCTATTTTAAGCCACAAAGTTTGGGGAGGCTTGTTCTGCAGCAAAAGCTAACTAATACAAACATCCTATAGATAATGCTTATTTCCTGGAACAATTTCCCAGAATTAGACTTTCTGGTTCAGAGTATATACACTTACACCTTTAAAAAAAAAGATTTTATTGATTTATTTGAGAGAGAGAGAGCAAGAGATTGAGAGAACGAGTGGGGCGAGGGGCAGAGGCAGAAGCAGACTTCCTGTGGAGCAGGGAGCCTGATGTGGGACTCATCCAGCGACCCTGGGATCATGACCTGAGCCAAAGGCAGACATTTAACCAACTGAGCTACCCAGGCGCCCACACTTACACCTTTTGACTCATATTGCCAAAAAAGTCATATCAATTTATAAACTACCAACAATCTAGAGAGTGCCCATATTTCCCATCTTTGTCAATACTGGACATTAATGTGTCTTGTTATCTTGATGACTACATTGTCCTTGTAAGTTTAGCATATAAACTGTTGTCCATTTCCTCTCAATTCAAAATCAATTTAGAAGGGGAAAAAAAAAGACCAAAAGAAAGATTATTTTAGGAATATGAAAAGAAGAGCAGAAAAGATAGGAAAAAAATAATAGAATGAGAGAGGGAAAAAGAGACAAATGTGTTAAACATAGAGGAAAGAAAATAGAATTATAGAATAGAGCAACCTCCAAGCCTCTCATACTAGGGTATTTAACATGTAATCAGGAATAGTTATGAGCCTGATAAATGATTTGAATCAGGAAAGAGACATGGAAAGGAAGTGTGCATTTAGGGCAAGCCTGGTGAAACTGAGAGCACTGTAAAACTAGGTACCAGGCTCTCTCCTAAGTGGCCGCATGTAATTGTCACAGCAACTCTCTGAGACACTGATGACTGTTCCCATTTTACAGATGGAGAAAATTAAGGGTCTGAGCTTTCAAGTAACTTGATAAAGATCATACAGCTGATCAAGATTTGAGTCCAGTTCTGTCTGGCTTGAAAACTGATGTGTTTCCCCTTACCCTTGCAGAGAAAATGTGAAAGAAGACCAACAACTAATGTTGGGAGGAAGTATATCCTCCTTTTGATTCCTGTTGCCAAAGTGCTCTCCAGAAAGCAGCCAGAATGCCTGGGTTTGAATCCCAGCTCTGCTACTTACTAGCCGTGTGACTCTTAGTCTCTCTATGCCTCAGTTTCCTCATCCGTAAAATGGCTTCATAATCGCCATGAGGGTAAAAGAGTACCTAGATGTAAAGGACTTACAACAGTGGCTGGCACATACTAAAGTGCTATAAAAGCTTGCTATTTCCATTGTGGCATGGAGCCACACGACTAATTCTAAGGAGCCTGTTGCCAGGAAGTTCTTATATAGTAGCTTTGGTTACACTCACATGGTCATGCCATGGTGGAATTTCCCATGGACCAGACTGCCCCTGCTGCCATGTTCCCCTTCATCCTGCTTTGGGGGTGATAAGGGAAAGAGGTGAGTGCTGTGATACCACACTGTCATCAGAGTGAACAAGAACAACTTCAGAAAACTGTCCCAAGTGGATATTCCAAGGCCTTGCTGCTACAGACCCCAGTATGGCTGAATGTGAAAGCTTCTTGACTAGGGAACCCCTAATTAACCTAGAACCCATCTACCTGGAGGAATAGAACAGCCTTCCTTCCACATTAAAATTCTCATTTCTATCCATAGGATTTTAACAACAGTAACACAAAAATAGCAGCTCACACATTGAGTGCCCTTTACATGCCAGACAGTGTCTTTTGACATGGGCACTATTCTCATTTCAATTTTACAAGTGATGACATTGAGTGTGAATCCAGACTCCTTCATCCTACCTATAACACTACACTCTCTCCTATTTGAGAACATGAAATTGGCAGTGTGTGTGTGTGTGTGTGTGTGTGTGTAAATGCCAAAGAAAGCGATCCAACATTCTCAGCCTGATCAATTCATCATCCACCCGCCTTCTCAGCCATAAGAGCAGCCCGTATTAGAACCTCATGCAGCAAGCTGAGGACTGAGGTGAGTGTCGAGAAATGGATTATGGATTTGCCACCATTCTGAGCCTTCTCAGGTCAAACTCATGTACTCTGTTGGGGGAAGGGGGAGGAGGATGGAGGAGGAGGCACTTTTTAAAAAAACTGTGGCAAAAAAACCCACTAGGCACTCTTTCAGTGCAGCTGACTGCAACACCACCAGGCCTGATTAAGGAATGACAATATGGAAGGCAGATGGCAGAGGCATGGACACGCCACACTATTGCCTTTCAGTTCAATATTGCTTGGGTTTTTTTTTTTTTCTTGTAAACCTCCCAAATAAAATGGTTTGCTTTCCTCAAGTTAGAAGTGTTAGCACGTCTTTTCTTTAAATATTCGTGCATGGCTGTTTTTTTCCCTGCCAATTTGTCACCATCTGTAACCCTCCCTTTGTGAGATGATCTGATGACAACGATTATCTCGGGGAGTAAAAGTGCAGTCTGGAAGCAACGGGAAGAGTAGTCAGAGTGTGGGTTATGTGTGTGCTGTCCGCGTGGGCTGTGTGTACGTACAGAAGGACAGTGTAGTTCGTGTGTTGGCTCGGGATGCCTCGTAGAGGTACGGAAGGTGAGTGTGCAGTGTGTACACTGTGTGTGTGTCTTGTGTGTGTGCGGACCATGTGTTGGGCTGAGTGCCTGCCTGTGTACTTTGGGTCTGTGTGCTCTCTGGGTAGATGCTGTGTGGACACCCTGTATGTGGGTCGACCCCCGTGTGCTGCTCTTCATGTGCTGGCTGAAGAGGGGCTGTGTGGACTGCTGCGGGCAGATGTTCCTCCCGAAAGCATCATTTCCTAAAGGTGTTTAAGGGGGATGGGGAGGGCCTGCAATGTGGGGAATGGGGCCATGAAATACCACCAGGGGTTGGGCCTGGGTCAAAGGCATGGAAATAACGGGTGGCTTGCAAGAGGGTGATGCCGGGAGGGGGGGCAGGCTAATCCTGAAGAGGACAGGGGTCCGGGCGTCACCGGAGGGCGGCCGCGGGCACCAGAGCGACGCCCGGGCACAGGGCGGGTGGCGGGCCGCGTCCGGCGCGCTCCTCCCCCCACGTTACCCCCCACCCCCAGGCGCGGCGCCGCGGCGGGAGGGGGCTCGGGCAGGCGGGGGTGGCGGCGGCGGCGGCGGAGCGAGGGGCTGCGGCAGCGACCTGATGGCGGGCGGCGGCGGGACCGGGCCGGGGGCCGAGGCCGCGGCCTGGGCGAGGGCCAGCCGCCGGGAGCTCTAAGGTGCCGCCAGCCCCTACTCCACCATGAACGTCGCGCTGCAGGAGCTGGGCGGCGGCGGCAACGTGAGTGGGGGCCCCGGGCTCCGGGGAGAGGACTGCATGGAGGGGTTGCGGCCGAGGGGGCAGGAGGCGTCGGCAGGGACTCGGGCTGGCCGAGAAGGGGCTGCGTGCCGGAGGGGGCGCGGGTCGGAGGGGCCCCGGGCCGGAGAGCCCGGCAGGCGCGAGGGGGGCTCCTCCCTGCAGACAGGAGGGGGCCCGGCCAGGCCAGGGGCACTGGGGCAGGGCCGTGGGCAAAGGGCCCTCTCTGCCTGACCTCGGTTGGCGCCCCCGACTGTCTGGCAGATGGTGGAGTACAAACGGACCACGCTGCGGGAGGAAGACGCACCGGAGACCCCCGTAGAGGGCGGGGCCTCCCCGGACGCTGTGGAGGTGGGCAAGGGGGTTCCCCCTTTCTCGCCAGGCCCCAGCCCTGACGTGACGCCTGGCAGACCCAGGAGCTCTGGGCTGACCTGGAGGGTCACCTGCCCCCACCTCAGCTTCCTCTCTGGCCTCTGCGCTAGAACTATGGTGAGGCGACTCTAAGCCATGACGTTGCACAAAGCGGGCTCAGGACTCAGCTCAGACCGCCTCATTGCCCCTGTGCCCAAAGTCAACCCCTTTAACGTCTTTGCTCCATGGCTCTGGAAACTGCCTGTGTCTTCACCCTTTGGGAGGACTTCTGTGATCTTGGATTCCCACCGGCAGCTTGCTAGCTCACTGACACCTTGTGTTCCCCAGGTGGGATTCCGGAAGAGGACAAGAGACTTCTTGGGCTCCCACACCCCACTGGAGCTGGTCTTAGCAGCTGTCTCTCTGCTGCTGGCTGCACTGCTCCTGGGCTGCTTGGTGGCCCTGGGGGTCCAGTACCACAAAGGTAGGTGGGCCCACACCTGTCACCAGCCCTCCTAGCTGTGGGGGTGGGGGTGTCCAGGGGCTCAAGGGCCACTAAGGTTTTTTTCTGGTCAGGCCAGTCTTTCCCCAGCTTTTCTCTCTCCTCCCAACCTTCTTGTTGTCATGGCCCTTCCCAAAGCATTTGCCTTTCCCAGACTCACTGACAGTCCCCTACCCCCACCCCCACCATGTCCCCTGCCACAGACCCATCCCATAGCACCTGCCTCACAGAGGCCTGCATTCGAGTGGCTGGAAAAATCCTGGAGTCTCTGGACCGTGGGGTGAGTCCCTGTGAGGACTTTTACCAGTTTTCCTGTGGAGGCTGGATTCAGAGAAATCCTCTGCCTGATGGGCGTTCTCGCTGGAACACCTTCAACAGCCTCTGGGACCAGAACCAGGCCATACTGAAGCACCTGCTTGGTGAGTGGAGCTGTCGGGGAGGCACTGTGCCAAGTAAAACTCACGCCTGGAACAGGGCTTTGCACTTAGGTACTCAATAAACGTCCGTGACTGAATGAATGAGTGGATGACTGCAAACCCTCCTCGGGTGGGGGGTGCAGAGAGCAGGGGGTCCTGAGAGGTGGAGATGGGTTTGAGGGGACAGATCTTTGAGTATATAAAGAAGGGACTGTCCTCTGCACTCTGCTTGGATCACTGCTGAGGTGTGGTAGGCACCAGGGAGTCTGTGGTGCTTAGAGTCTTTGAGGGTTTCCATGGACAGGGGAGAGGAAGTCACACTTTGCTGTTTCAGACAGTCTTCCTGGGTCTACTTTAGGAGGACTGAGCCTTCACAAGGCAAGGAGAAGGACCAAGCAAGGGCCCAGGACCCCTCTCAGCAGTTAGCATAGTTGCCAACTGGACCTGTGTCCTACCCCACAGAAAATGCCACCTTCAACTCCAGCAGCGAAGCTGAGCAGAAGACACAGCGTTTCTACCTATCCTGCCTGCAGGTGGAGCGCATCGAGGAACTGGGAGCCCAGCCGCTGCGAGACCTCATTGACAAGGTGGGACCCCTGGGGGAGGTCAAGATAGGTCTTGGGAGAGGATGTGGCCCCAGAAAGCTTTGGGGGCCCCTGTGCTATAGTTTCCACTATGGTCTCTACTCAGATTGGTGGTTGGAACATTACGGGGCCCTGGGACCAGGACAACTTCATGGAAGTGCTGAAGGCAGTAGCAGGGACCTACAGGGCCACCCCCTTCTTCACTGTCTACGTCAGTGCCGACTCCAAGAGTTCTAACAGCAATGTTATCCAGGTACCAGTCTGGAGAAGGGTTGGGGGGAACTTATGGACCTTTTGCTGAGCCCAGACTCTCCTCCCCTATGACAGGCAGGCTGGGGTGGCTCCATCCCCCACCCCTGTACAGGAGACCAGGTGTGTGTTGGGGGAAGGCTCACTCCCATGACTTGCTATTGCAGGTGGACCAATCTGGGCTCTTTCTCCCCTCTCGAGATTACTACCTAAACAGGACCGCCAATGAGAAAGTAAGGAGCATCCTCAGAACACCCAACCCCACCCCTCTATTGAGCTGGGCTGATGCTTGTTTACTTTTCCTTTGCCCAGAGTCATAGTGGGGAAGGTGAGCCTGTCCTGTCACCTAGTGAGCCAACTACCCTTCCTTCCTTCTTTATCTCTTCACTCTTCCCTCATTTCCTCCCTCCCTCCCTCCCAGCCTTCCTTCTCACCCTTCTCTCTTTCCTTCCCTCCTTCCCTCCTTCCCTCCTTCCCTTCCATTCCTTCTCCCCTTCTTTCTTTCCTTCCCCTTATTCTTCTAGGACCACATTTTATAGGCACCTACCGTGTGCCAGGTGCAATGGGGGAATTCTGAGATGTACCTCTGGAGCCACTGCCCCAAAAAGCTTGCAGTGTGGATGGGTTCATGGACCTAGATAGCTGAGAACGAGCTTCAAAGGGGTCTCTAGGCTTCAGGAGAGACTCAGGTAGTCAGAGGTTTCCTGATGAGAGTGCATCTGAGCCGGGCCGCGTAGAATATCTAAGAGCGGGTGAGGGCATGCTGGGTAATGAGAAGAGTTTAAACAAAGTCTTGAAGAAAGATACAGCTAAGGCATGTTTGGACCACGAGAAGGGGTCCAGTTTGGCAAAATGTAGAGCTCCAAGCAGATGACAGGCTGGACAGGTGGGTAGGAATGAGCTGTGGAGGGGACCTGGAATCCTATACAATAAAACACTGAGTTTTATTGCATAGGCCTCTGAGAGCTGTTGCATGTTCCAGAGCAGGAAGGGAGCAACCCAGTAAGCAGTGCTTGTAGATGCAAGAGAGGGAGCCTGGAGTGACAGGTAGATGTGACAAGTAGATGCAAGAGAGGGAGCCTGGAGATGAGTTAAGGCAGTGGTACTCTAGGCTCTGAGCCTGTAAGGGCCCAGATGTGGGAAGTGGCAGAGAGAATATTAGGAAGGGGGGGATGCAAGAGACATAACCAAGGGCAAATCATGAATTGTGGGTTACTGGGTGTTCAAAGAGAGGAGTAGGAGGAAGAGATAAAGACAGATGAGGCTGGAAGCTGGAGCGATGGTGGAGTGGAGGAGTCCTTGGAGAGCCAGGGGTGCCTGGAGGAAGAACCGGCTCAGAGCACACTGGGGAAGAGGAGACAGTGTGACGTCACAGGAACAGGGCAGACTCTGGGGTCAGACCTTGATTTCGATCCCAGCCCTGTGGCTTGGTGCAAGGTGAAGCTGTTTCTTCATCTGTAAAATGGGGATCATAGCATTTACCTCCTATGGTGTCTATCTGGGAAAGGGGGGACACAAGCTTATGCAGACACTCAGGGAGTGGGAGCCACTCATTTTAGATGTGTGATTGTGAGCATCCTGGGTGCCTTCTATCTGGGGAGGTCAGCAGGCAACTGTGGAAGCTGGGTGAAGTCCCGGAGAGAGGATGAGGCTGGAGGGAGCCGAGGGCTTGTGGGGCATCTCCTTAAAAATGTAGACAAAGGCTTGGGAGAAGTGAGAAGCAGGAGAAGAATATAGAGGGGAAAGAAGCAGATTCTTGCCTTTTAAGGATAGTAGGAGGAAGAGAGCCAGCGAGGTAGGCCGCCGTGGAGTAACACTGCCGGGAGAGTCATTGGCCCTTTCTTTGGTTCTCAAACACTGAGCATTTCTCAGCCAGACCCTCCTCCAGGCATGTGGTAAACAAGACAGTGCCTTTGCCCTCGAAGTGGTGGAGAAGCCATGAAGCGGCTTGGTGTATCCTGTGTGCAGTTGCTGGGACTGTCCCAGAGGGCAGTGCGGCATTCCCAGACTGTCACAGGGGACCAGCCTCGTCCAGGGATAAGGGCAGGCTGCCATGAAGGGAGAGGGTTCAGTCAAAGGGAAGAGCGTATGCAAAGGCGCTGAGGTGGGAGGGCATATAAGCCATTGACAGACCAGAGAGGGGAGTGGGGTGGGGGTGGGTGGGCCAAGTCCTTCGGGGCAGGGATGTAGATTCATATTATGCGTGGACACTGTGGATCAGATTTAGCATTTATCCCAAAAGAAATGCAAAAGGAGGGGCACGAACAGGTGTGTGGTTTAACATCACCTGAGTCAGGAGAGGAGAGAATTTTGAGAATGCTGGAGAGAACCACATGGTTCAACAATTGGGAGTCGGCAGGAGAAAGCTTCAGTTCAGCTCTGTGTGTTGCTGGTTGTCTCAGGCAGGAAGTCTGGGCCAGCGTCTAAGGGAAGCTGCAGCATAAAAGGTTCACATAGGAGAAGAACTGAGGAGTAAAACAGGGTTCAGGAAAGTCTCAGCGTAAGTCTTCAGCTAAAGGCAGGGAGAGAAAGGGACAAGTGAGGTGGGTGGCGGCAGGGCACGGTCAGGATGACTGGTTGAGCCAACCAACCCCTCGGGAGCTGGGATGACTGGGGCTGGCCCTCAAATCTCTTTCTCTGACACCGGCAGCAAGGAAGAGGAGAGGTGGGAGAAAGAAATTTTGAAGTACAGGGGATGGATGCTAAAGGATCTGGAACTTTTCAATTGAGTAGAAGAGGAAATGGCCTTTGGCGGTTAAGGGAGCCCAGGGTGGGGCTTCAGGGGCAGCGTGAGTAGTGGCCCCTGGGAGGAGGGCCCCAGGGAGCTGGTGCTGAGCAGTGCTGAGGGTCTGTTTGCAGGTTCTCATCGCTTCATTCAACAAATGTTTATTGAGCACCTACTATGTGCCAGATGCTATGTTAGAGCCGAAGGCTACGGTGGAGAACAGAGAAAAACAGCCCCTACCTCACCTGAGCTGGAGTGCCAGCAGGTGCTGAAGCAACATGAGTTCACACGGGGCCCACGTAGTGCTGGGGCCATGGTCGGAACTGCCAGGCCTGAGCCACATGCGGACTCTGCCACCTGCTAGTTTGTGGTAGGAGTCAGGTCATGTAACCTTCTCAAGCGCATTTCCTCATCTGTAAAGTGGGACTAATACCCACTTGAGGGAGTTGCTATGAGAGGGAAGAAAGATACATTACCTGTAGGGCCCCAGCAAAGTCTGATACATGTGTAGACATGTGGTCATTAAGTATTTCTCTTCTGCACCTTGCTCCCCCTTGGAGACTAGAAGGGAGCTGAGAAAGCAGTAAGGTTGAGGCCTGGCTGGATGGGAGATGGAAGGCCATTAAACCTGCTATGGACCAAATTCACTGTGGGGTCTACTCAGCTGTTAAGTGAAGGCATGTGGTCATCGATGTGCTGAAAAAAATAGAAAGGCCTTAGGAAATGAGAAGGCAGAGGAATCTGGGAAGCAGGTCCATCCACCGGACAAATATTTACGGGACACCTGTTCTGTGCTAGGCCCCGTTCTAGGCCCTAGGGGTGGAGGGGTGAATAAGCTGCTATAACTTGCAACAGTGCTCTCCTGAACTTACCTTCTCTTTGGGGAAATAGATGACAAGTAAGGACACAAATAAATAAACAAGATCCTAGCAGATGGTGGTAAGCAGTATAACAGAAACAAAACAGGACTGTCCAAGAAAGCTTCTGAGAGGAGGGTCAGCAGAGGAGGTGATAAGTAGAGGTGGAGGCCAGAACAGACCCTCTCAGCCTTGGGCAGGACCTGTTGCTGGGCTCCCAGGATGACTCCAGGCCTTGCCAGGTCCTTACCGCCTACCTGGACTACATGGAGGACCTGGGGATGTTGCTGGGCGGGCGGCCCGCCTCCACACGGGAGCAGATGCGGCAGGTGCTAGAGCTGGAGATGCAGCTGGCCAACATCACAGTGCCCCAGGACCAGAGGCGGGACGAGGAGAAGATCTACCATAAGATGAGCATCGTGGAGCTGCAGGTGGGGCAGGCAGGGAGCAGAGTCAGCCAGCAGGGCCCAGCCCCTGGAGCAGAACTCCCCGCCCTCCTTCCTGCCGCCTTCCTGAGGCAGCCAGTCCTTTCCGCATTTGCTTGCTTTCCTGAGAGCTTCCCAGCTGCTCTGTTACTATCCAGTTTAGGTCACCTCTCACTAGACCATCCCTTGGTCCCCTTTCGTGTTGCCTAGGGAATGCACAGAGGGATTATGGTAAAAATCTGTAACAGTTTGTACAAGATGTCCGTAAAACAATCAAAAGAAATTTGGAAGCATCTCCTGGAGGGTCCTTACTGTGCCAGGAACCAACCCTTCAGCTGGATGATGGAAAGGCTGGGTAAGGCGGGGGGCGGGGGGAGTTCTGAAGGAGAGACCAGTTATGTAGGGACCCTGGATGGTGTCAAGGGAGTTGGATTTTATCAACTGTTGTGAAAATACTTGAATATCTGTGCCCCAGCTGAATATTATATAGGGTGGTTTTTCTTGTATAATAAGTGATGGGGCTCCCAGATTGAGGAGCACTTGGGTCTGGAAAAAGGTTTATTGCAGGAAGGGGCTACCAAGCAGCTACTAGATGTTGCCATGGCAATGGGAAGTGTTCCCAGGCTCTGGCATATCAATGGGGGTGGGGTCTGCTGGCAGCCAGGAGGACAGGCAAGGAGGCTTGAGATTTTTTTTTTTTTCTCTTTTTGGTTGTAGGCCCTGGCGCCCTCCATAGATTGGCTGGAGTTTCTGTCTTTCTTGCTGTCACCGCTGGAGCTGGGAGACTCTGAGCCCGTGGTGGTGTATGGGACGGATTATTTGCAGCAGGTGTCAGAGCTCATCAACCACACAGAGCCAAGGTTGGGAAGAGCCCAAAGTGTGGGAGGTGGGGCTCAGAGCTCCACGCAGGTCCATGCAGGCACTGGGCATGGGGTCTGACACAGCCAGACACAGAGCAGCATTTGACAAGGCCTTGGACCTTCCAGACATCAAAAGAGAATGTCTGCAGGCCGTTCCCCTAGGCTGGGGCTTCAGGGGGCCCATTTACACTCTTTATTCCCACACCTTGCTCCAAGCTGACTTCTGCAGGCAGGTGTGTGGTCCCAGGGCGAGACAGAGGGATTCTGGGACAGCTCCTACATATGCCTCTCAGGACTTCTGTTGCCTGCACATTCATGGAGCAAATTTGGGGTGGAAATGGTACTGCACCTGCCCTTTCCTTACATTCTGGTCTGGATGCCAGCGTCCTGAACAATTACCTGATTTGGAACCTGGTGCAGAAGACAACCTCGAGCCTGGACCACCGCTTTGAGTCTGCACAGGAGAAACTGCTGGAGACCCTCTATGGCACCAAGAAGGTGGGATTTCTGACTCTGCCCCACCTTCCAGTCCAGCCTAATGTGCCTGTGTGTCAGGCACCATGGCCTCCTGGTAGAGTGTGGAGCACATAGGCATAGGAATCAAGATGACTTGGGTTACCATCCCAACGCCTTCATGTTTTGGCCTACGGGACCTTGGTTGGGCATGTCACCCGGTCTCTCCGTTTCCTGGTGTGTGAAATAGGAATAGCTTGCAGGCTTGTCTTGAGGACTGAGCTGATGTAAGTGAAGCGCCAGTGCATTGTATGCAGAGGCACTCAGCTTTGATGGTGATGCTTAAGAAGAGGGTTAAACGTAGTTCTTAGTTTCAAGGTGCCCCGTGAAGTGGGGGACGTGGACATGTAAACACACATTGTATTTTAGGGTGATGAGGGCTCACATTGTGTGAAAGACCTTTGTGCTACAGAACAGAAGAAGGGATAGCACATCCTACCTGGGGGAGGGGGAGGCATCAGGACAGTCCTTTATGAAGAGGTGACATTTGAAGAATTAGTTCACCAAGGGAGCAAGGGAGACGGGCATTCTAGGCAAGAACAGCATGTGTTCTGGTATGAGCTTGGGAACAGGCCGACTTAGAGGCTGAGGGCGGTGAGGTAGGCCTGGGGCAGGACAGGAAGGGACCTGAATGCTCTGGTAAGGAGTCAGGCCTTGATTCTTTCAGCAATGGGGAACCATGGGATGATTTTAAGCAGAATAACCCAGTCAGATTTATGTATTGGATGATCTTTCTGGCAGCTAAATGGAAGATGGAGCGGAGGGACATGGGAGGGGGATGAGGGGAGCCAGAGTGTCTAGTTAGGAGGTGACTGCAATCTTTGGGCCAGAGATGGTTGTAGGCAAGGGAAGTGGCAAAGGGAGGGATAGGGGAGAGGACCAAGAAGTCGGGGTAGTAGACATGGTGATAGACTGAATGTAGGTGTAGGGAGATGGAGGAAGCTGGTGACTTGCGGGTTTCTGGCATGCGGGACTGACTCGTTATAAGACTGGGATGTGGGGCTGAGCAAAGAAACTTCTGGCCCCCAGTGGGGCCCTTGGACACCTAAGAGGAGGAGAGTACTGAGCACAGAGTGGGCAGCACACATGTTCCTCCTGAGGTTTTGCTGCTGGAGTTGACGCACTTTTCAGTTCTGCCCTTTGTTTTCCCTGGAGTCTGAGGGAGAGATGGCAGCACCCCAACCCCAGGTTGCCATTGCTCAGAGCCGAGAGGGCTGGCTCCAGAGACAGAGAAGAGAAGGGCCCTCAGACTGGAGAACAGAGCCATCTCTGGGAGGCCTGGCTCTTTGTCCCTTACAGTCCTGCATGCCAAGGTGGCAGACCTGCATCTCCAACACAGACGATGCACTTGGCTTCGCTTTGGGCTCCCTCTTTGTGAAGGCCACGTTTGACCGGCAAAGCAAGGAAATTGTGAGTCTTCGAGGTTTTTCTAACTAGTGTCCTTGTGTTAGTTCAAATCCACTATTCATTCATGTGTGCACGTGGTGGCGGGGGGGGACTGAATGGAAATTCATCAATAAATGAACAGTAATTACTTTGGGTGGTAGGATTAGGAGGGGTTCTTTTTGTCTTTTAAAGTTCCCTGTCTTTTCCAAATGTTCTATAATGAGTTTATGTTGCCTATAGAGTTAGGAAAATAGTATTTATTTATTGGGAGATGATAATGAGTGTGCTTAAAGTATTATCTGCAAGGATATTTCTTGCAGTGTGGTTTATAATAGGCGGAAATGAAAACAGCTGAAATGTCTGATCATAGGGACTGGAAGAAAGACTATGGTTAGGGTGAATTATGAGGCAGCCTAAAACTCATGATATATTGTTAAGTGAAAAAAAGAGAGTAGTTTACAAGATACCAGGTCTCTGTGGATAGGTCTGTTGCCAATCTAATGTTTCTACCATTGTATGTTGCACAACATATTTACATGTTATATATGTATATCAGGGCAGGGACAGACTCTCAAAGTAGATAATCAAAATGTTAAAAGGAGTTATCTCTGAGTGATGGGATTATAAGTGGTCTGTTTCCTTCTTCGCCTCTTCTCAATTTCCCAAATTTTCTGCTATTAATGCCTTCCTTCCATAATCAGATAAAAATCAATGCACTATATTAAATTATATTAACTCAACTAACTTATTGTCAGTTAAATTTTTTTATTAATTAGAGAAAAAGCCACCCGCCATCTCAGTACTTTCACAAATGGTGTTTCCGTCTCATCTTCCCAAGATGCTCAGCTTTACTTCGAGTCTGGGGGCCCTCCCACACGCTCCCCTGGAAGGACAGGGATGGGGCACTGGGGTGGACGGGCCGGGTGGGGGGGGGGGGGGGGAAAGCGGGTGTGGGGTAGAATGCATCAGTGCAGCGGGAGGCCAGCTTACGCCCCCTTCCTCCTAGGCTGAGGGGATGATCAGCGAGATCCGGACTGCCTTTGAGGAGGCCCTGGGGCAGCTGGTTTGGATGGATGAGAAGACCCGCCAGGCAGCCAAGGAGAAAGTGAGCCGTGGCCAGGGTTAGGGTGCCATCTTCAGGTGGAGGTGGAGCATACAGTTTTTTGGGGGGGAGCCTGGGGAGGGGAAACCCTTAACCTGGTCTCTTCAGGCAGACGCTATCTATGATATGATTGGTTTCCCGGACTTCATCCTGGAGCCCAAAGAGCTGGATGATGTTTATGATGGGGTGAGTACCTGGGCTCACCAGTGCTGAACTTCATCTCTGAGGTGGTGGGAGGCAGGGCTCTATTCTCGGTCAGTAATTGGGGCTCAAGCCCTGGAAGGGAAGGAGGTGCCTGTTGGTTCCTTTCAGAGGCAAGTGCGGGCAATGGACGCTGTTCACGTGCTGGCTCTGTGCCAGGCTGCAGGCTAGGCAGCAGTAGAATGCAGTGTTCACAAATCCTGGTTCTACTCCTACCTACCCGTGTAACCTGGGACAAGTTATATAATCTCTCTGGGCCTGAGTGTCTTCATTTGTAAAATGGGGATCCTACTGGTACCAACCTCATAGGGTTGCTGTGAGAAAAGAAGGAGGCAGGATGTAAAACAATAAAGCACCAGCAACATAAATACTCTTTTAAGTATTGGCGCTTGTTATTTCCTAAATATTTTACTCTTATTTTGCCATTGAGGAAAACTGAGGCTCAGAGAGGTGCTAATTAGTCCCAGCCAAACTGGGACTATTCTCTTCTCTAACATGTTGTCTTGCTTGCTTTCTGCTTTCCACCACTCCCATAGTATGAAGTCTCTGAAGATTCCTTCTTCCAGAACATGTTGAATTTGTACAATTTCTCTGCTAAGGTGATGGCTGACCAGCTCCGCAAGCCTCCCAGCCGGGACCAGTGAGAATGGGGGGCTGTAGACACTTGGGGCAGCAGGAGAGGGAGGGGAGATTTCCAGGGCTGGGGAAGGGGGTGGCAAGACATCTCAAACCAGAAGCACAAGGTCTTTGCAGGAGGTCGGTCTTTGCAGGAGGTAGGTCAGGGCTGCTGGGCCGGGAGGGGCATCAGGAGCCTCAGGAGCCTCAGCCTCTCCCTCTTGCTCTCCCAGGTGGAGCATGACCCCCCAGACAGTGAATGCCTACTACCTTCCAACCAAGAATGAAATCGTCTTCCCTGCCGGCATTCTACAGGCCCCCTTCTACACCCGTAACCACCCCAAGTGTGTCTGAGGCAGGAGGGGCTGGGTGCTGGGGCCTGGGCCTGTAGAGAAGCCGGGCACAGGGCTGGAGGTGGGGTCCGGAAGTTCCCCCACCATGTCCTCATGCAGCATTCCTCACCCACCAGGGCCCTGAACTTTGGTGGCATCGGCGTGGTAATGGGCCATGAGTTGACACATGCCTTTGATGACCAAGGTAGAGGCCCCTGGAGTTAGTTGCCCCCTTCAGCTTAGAACTCCCAGTGGTTCTTGCAAGGCCTTGGAATATTGGGAGCGGCCCCCGGGAGCCTGGAGTCTGTTGGTGGAAGGCTGCTCTAGTCTCGGCGAGGTGCAAAGGTTAGTTCTCCTCAGGGCGCGAATACGACAAGGAAGGGAACCTGCGGCCCTGGTGGCAGAACGAGTCCCTGGCGGCCTTCCGGAACCACACGGCCTGCATGGAGGAACAGTACAGCCAGTACCAGGTCAACGGGGAGAGGCTCAACGGCCGCCAGACACTAGGGGAGAACATCGCTGACAACGGGGGGCTTAAGGCTGCCTATAACGTGAGTGGCCTGGCCGGCCTCTGGCGGCTGAGGCCCACCTGCCCAGGTGGGATGGTGGGGGGGTTGGGCAGTGGGTGGAGGTGGTGGGCAAGCCCTGACGGACTTGCCTCCCCTGTGCCTGACCCCAGGCTTACAAAGCGTGGCTGAGAAAGCACGGGGAGGAACAGCGGTTGCCAGCTGTGGGGCTCACCAATCACCAGCTCTTCTTTGTGGGATTTGCCCAGGTATTGCCCTCCTAGGAGATCTGGGGCCTGCCTCTCTCCCACTCCCTCCTGGGCATGTCGTTAGACGTCTGGGGCATGCAGGAAAGGGACTGGGAATGGGGCTGAAGGTGGGGTGTGGAAGGTGGTCTGGGAAGGTCTGGTGCCCAGAGCTTCTCAGCGGGGGCTCATGAAAGCATGCCAGGAGGCCCGAGGAAGGACAACTCTTCAGGAGGCTTTTGTAGATCCCAAAGGGGAGGGCTGCCCTGCTTGAGGGGCAGCGGGTAGGGCACAGAATTGATCCCCACCACATTCCTGTGAGGTGGCTTTGGAGGAGGCAGCTAAAGCTTGTGGACAAAGTGGTCCATCCAGGGCTACCCAGGAATAAAGTAAGTGGCAGAGCAAGGACTCAGGTAGGGTCTCTTCAAGGCACTTTGCACTACCCCAGGCGGCCTCTGGGGGGGCGTCCTTCTCCCCCTCAGATGCATCCATCCTTGGCAACCCAGTGTCCAGGGCATCTTTGAAAGGCCTTCAAGGAATTTGAGAGGGAGGGCACGTTTCCCTCCCTCGGTGCCGAGAGCAAGGGGTTGTAGCTGAGATGCTGGTGTGTCCTGGAGGCCTCTTGAGCGGAGGGGCTGGGGTAGCGGTGGTTTGTGTCCCCAGGATGGCTCTGCTGCAGCCCAGTCTGTGGGCCCTGCCTGCACCAGACACCATATGTCCCCATGTCTGTCCTGGCCCGCAGGTGTGGTGCTCAGTCCGCACACCCGAGAGCTCTCACGAGGGGCTGGTGACCGACCCCCACAGCCCTGCCCGCTTCCGCGTGCTGGGCACTCTCTCCAACTCCCGTGACTTCCTGCGGCACTTCGGCTGCCCTGTTGGCTCCCCCATGAACCCAGGGCAGCTGTGTGAGGTGTGGTAGACCTGGGGCTAGGGAGAAAGAGCTCGCTGTTGCCAGGACCTGGGGCAGCTCGCCCAGCAAGGCTGTTTGCTCCAGGTTTAGAGAAGGCAAATGCCCTCCACACCACAGGTGACATGAGTCCCGGTCCTCCCTCAAACACCACATTGTGCCTCTGCTTTGGGGGTACCCCCTGCCTCCAGCAGAGCCCCCACCATTCACTGTGACATCCTTCCATGTCACCCTGCCTGGAAGAGGCCTGGGGCGGGGGGAGGCAGACATCGGCTCCCACAGAAAGGAGTCTGCCTCTTCTAGTCCTAAGATCACTTGACTTGGTGGCCTCGGGGCCTGCTGTGCCTGCCCCACTCGGACCACCCAGGGCCTGGGTGGTGTGCCTCTCGAACTTGTCCCTGAGGCCCGCTCAGTGCCCACTTGGGAGTGGACCCAGCCCCTTTCAGCTCCACTCTCAGGGGCTACTCCCCAACCCGTGTTCCTTATGCTGCTTCTCCCAATGCCGCTGCCAACGCTCACTGACAGACCAGCTGTGCTCAGCTCTTAGTGGAAGCCTGAGGGCCTTTACAAGCCCACCTGCTGCCTCCCAGTTTCCCTGGGCTCAGAGGGGAACTATGTATGGTGTGTATGTAAAGGAGATGCGGGTCACAGGGGCTGTACCGGTCCTCCCTGGCCCAAGCAGAAAAGCAGATAGAGCAGGGAGAGAGAAGGACAGAGTTTATTTTTACAGGGAAGAGGGTGGGGAGGGCGGGATCTTGGCCCTGTAGGACCCTATGCCAATAAATACACACACATCAGTCAGCCTGTCTCTTCCTTCAGTCCTGTTTTCGTTGATTCATTCACTCATTCCACCAATATTTATTGAGCGCCTACTCTATGCCAGGCACTCTTCTAGATACTCATTTACTCAGTCACCAGACGCAGGGGACTGAGATATGAAGCCTCAAGGAAACAGAGAAGGAGAAGCAGGAATGAAGAACGGAATGAAGTTGAGTTGGCCTGGGTGGAGTACCTCCTTGGGCGGTCATATCCCCGTCACTGGCTGATCTACCGCTGGAAGGATTTGCCTCTGCCCTCCACTGGTGCATGCAGCCAGGCCTAACACTGAGCCTGGCTAATAGTGGGCCAAGGTCAGCTTGGAAGATGGGTGGCCCTTACCCTGCAATGGAGGGAAGGCCTGGCCAAGGCGGCATGCCGTTACCTGCGGCTCAGAGCACACCCCCCCGCTTCTGGCTGAGAAGACACACATTTCCCCATGGCCTTGAATGCCCAGTACTCCTGAGAGTCACTTACCCCACCACACATACTCATCAAGGCCTACCAAGTGCCAGGCACAGAGACTGCGGGTCTGGCTGCCACCCTTCGGAGCAAGGGAGGGACAGGAGCCTTTATTCAATATCCCATGTGTTCCAGGCACCTCTACTAGGTGGCTCATTTTTTTTCATTCATTCATTCATTCATTCATTCATTCATTCATTTATGCATTCATGGATTTAAAAAAAGATGTATTGATTACCAACGGCGTGCCAGGCACTGGTGATGCAGAGATGAATAAGATGGCTCCTTCCCTCGGGTGGCTCTTCTGTTGGCAGGTTCACCTTCACAAGCTCATCTGACCCTCCTAGCAACCATATTTTGTAAGTGCTCTAGTTTCCATTTTACAGATCTAACCCTCAGCACTTCACTGCAGTCAAAGAGGCCTGGCTTGAACTCGAAGATTGAATAGCTGTATGAGCTTGGGCTTGTTCCCTCACCTCCCTGAGCCTCAGTTTCTTTATCTGTAAAATGAGAACCAGAGCAAGACAGTGACGGTGGAAAAGAGTCATCTCAGTTGTCTTTAAAATTCAGTGTTCTCCAAAATCTAAGTAGGAGTGGGTCTGTTGAGGGTAAGTGAAGCTTTGGCAGTGATTGCTGCTGGGGCCCTGGGTGATGGTACATGTGTCCCACAGTCTGTTTCCTGCCCCTGTGTCCTAGCCCCATCAAGAGCTGTATGTCGGCCCCTGTCATACTTGGAGGCGCTGGCTGCTCAGAAAAGAAGACCGTGGCCTCAGGAACCCTAAGACCGAGGGAAAACATGGCTGAGCCTCTGGAAGCATGACTCTGGGAGGGACAGCAAAGTGTATTGGAAAGAGGAGAGCCATCCCATCTGGAAACCTGGTTCTGGCTCCAGCTCTGCAACTTCTTAGCTGTGTGATACTAGGCATGGCTCATCCCCTCTTCAGGTCTCAGTATCCTTAGCATTCTGTGAAATAAGTAGGTTAGATGAGATGATCTCCAAGGACCAGTTCAACATTAGTGTTTTAAGTAGTGAATTCATGGGCTTAGCAAATATTAAGAAATGCCATGTGAAGTTTAGGTGTTGCAGAGAGAATAAGATTTATAATGTCAGAGATCTTAATGAGTGAGGAGAGAGGCTTGGCAGCCCATCCCTTTACAACTGATTTTATTTTATTTTATTTTTTTAAAGATTTTATTTATTTATTTGAGAGAGAGAATGAGAGAGAGAGAGAGAGAGAGAGCATGGGGGGGGGAGGGTCGGAGGGAGAAGCAGACTCCCTGCCGAGCAGGGACCCCGATGCAGGACTCGATCCCGGGACTCCAGGACCATGACCCGAGCCGAAGGCAGTCACCCAACCAACTGAGCCACCCAGGCGCCCCTACAACTGATTTTAGAGGCCAGTTTAGGATGCTGACCAGTGGGCCACTATGCATTGAAACTCCCTATTTCCAAAAAGGTCAAAGGTCAGCTTTCATTTACTGAGTCCCTATTTTGTTAAGCCTGTGCTAAGCACTTTAAAATCATCTCACTAAGTTCCCACAACTTATAAGAAGGTTCTGTAACTGCGTCTATTTTATAAATGGAGAAACTAAGAGAAAAAATTACATAACTTCCAATGTCAGATAGGACAGATTGCATTAAAGTCAGATGTGGAACTCGGATGCTCTTAATCTCCACCATTTATTCTTCTAGGTCATGACTGAGTTTAGACTTATGCATAGAAATCTGTCTTCTGGTCAGTGTCATTGCACAGACCACCACTAGCAGGTGTGTTTCCGTGTCACCCAGTTCTCCTTGACCAGGCATATGTGACAACCAGGTAGCTGCAGGAAACCTAAACACATGTTGAGCTGAAATTAAGCCAGGTAGCACCTGTTTGTTGAACACTCTGCAGGTGCTTGGTTCCAGAGGCAAGGCAAGGTGAACCTCAGCTGACAGATGTAACCTTCACCCTTAGTGGCCCTGACAAACTGATGAATATGCGTCTGTGATATGCTCTGGTGTGTTAAAGCAGAAGGGGGAAAAAAGGGTGGTGCTCCTGGGTGGACACATGAGAGCAGTTGTTGGTAAGGTGCTGGGCCATACCCTACACTGTCCCATTGAGAAGTTTGACCAATTCCCACGCAAAATAAGGCAACATATGTCAAACAGTGTGATTTCACACTTGGAAGCACTCTGGAAATTTTAGTTTGGAAGACAGTCTCTCATAAAATAAGCACAGTTTCAGTGGGCCTATCATGACTCACAAATAGAGAATCCCAACAGTTTCTCGATGCCCAGCTCCGAGCTCTAAAGAGCCCCCGATGGGCCATTATTATATGTAAAGATGATCTGAAGATGAATGCAAAATGAATTCATTCATTCAATAAATATTTATCAAGGCTTACCACAAGCCAGGCATTAGGTTGGTGCTAGCGACAAAAGATGAATAAGAAACAGTTCCTGTCCTCTAATAGCTCAGAGTCTAAGGGGAGAGAGAGAGAGAGAGAGAGAGAGAGAGAGAGAGAGAGAGAGAGAGAGA